AGTCCTTCCCCGGACCACAACCATATGGTCAAAATCAAGTTGGGCAAAGCAGAAAAACGATTCCGTGTTTCCCCTATTCCACGTGAGTTCTCTAGATACTGCACTACTGTCAGAAAATACAGACAGGGCTGACACCTCCTGGTATTTTATACGAGGAACCTAACAGTGCATAGCATCACCGTACTGTGGTGTAACTGCACACCGTCACTGGAAAGGCAGGCACCATTTCATTTTCGGCACACCTTTGCCACTTTCCCTGATTTCGAAACAGTGATCAAGCAGCTCCAGATTAAGTTTGTTCAATGACCTGGTCTGACAGAAAACTAGCCTCCAGGGGAAAAAAGGAGAAAAAAAAAAAAAGTTTTCACTGATCGTCCCCATTTTGCAAGCTGCATAATGGTTAGATCTGACATCAGACATGCAACCAGGAGAGGGAACGAAAGGTGAGAACAGGGCCATTCCCTGCAGCAGAAGTCTGTACTTAACACCCTGTGGTGTAATGTCAGGTGGCAGCTTAAGTGTTAGACGGAAAGACTGGTAATACGTGTCGTCCCCAAGATTTCCCACCCGTTCCTGTTCTCTCACCTCCCGGCTCCTGTTCCATGTTTGATGTGATTTCGCGCTCCGAATGACAGCCTGCCTTCTGTTTCAGTTTCAGTGAAGGAAACAGTTTCACCATCAGGTTTGATACAGGAGGTCCATTTGAATCACTGTCCACTGCAGACTCCTTGGACATTTCCTCTCCCCTCTTTGACGCAACTCTTCTCTTTACTGTTTTATCTAGGACAGTTGTATCATTCTTACTGGAAAAGTCTTTCTGTAAAGATATTTTAGTATATTTTTCAGGTAAATCACTGTTAATGTAATTTTCATCAAGATCACTCCATGTTCTTTCATCATCAAACTCAAACTTACTCCTACTTATACAAGACGTGCTTCTCTGATGATCTGAAGCTTTTCTAATCTTTTGCTTTGAAAGTGCACTGCAATCTTTGTCTGGCAAGCCAAGGTCAGCATCTCCATTTTTACTTTCTTTGCTGTTGTCTGTAATGGAACCTCCATAATCAAAAAATTCTGGATCGCTTTGTCTATGTCTCAGAAAGGATGTCTCAGCATCTTCATCTTCATGCTTTAACGTGGTCTCAAAATCACTCTCAGAATCTGTAGTAGTATCCCCATTGCCATCACCCTTATCTTCATTGACAATCCATTGATTACTTTTTAAAGCAGGAGCTGCTGTCATCAAAGAAGCTGAAAATATTACACTGTCCGTTTTATTCAATGGATCCTTCATTCTAAAAGCTGTTCCTGAATTCGAGACGGTATGCATAGCTGCCCTATCATTTATATTTCCCTGTGCCACACAGTCTGCCTTTTTGTTTCTCTTATTTATCAGATGAAGAGCCAGTGCCTCTACTTGCTGCTGGTTTGCCTTGATAGGGGTGGAAGACATTCTACGGCCTTTTGAAGTTTGCTGATCTTGATCTAAGATCCTTTGCACAAATGAGGAATTACTTGAGAAAGATATTTCATCCGCAGCTTGTTCTAGAAACAAAAATTCATCTAATTCTAGGTTCTCTTTTTCTTTTTCTTTTTCCCAGTTTTCCAGCTTATTCTGAAATGAAACTTCAAAAGACAGTTCTGGATCTTTTACAGGGTGACCTGTAGGACATTTAGAATTAGAAAAGGCACTGGCCAGCTCAGGAGACAAATGAGGCTTTTCTGTGCTGGGTAATTTGTTTCCGGTTTTGCCAGTGTTAGACTTGGCAAATTCTACTACGTTCTCTTTATCTTCTATTTTGTTGCTAATTTCTGATGGAGAAGAATCTCTCATTTGTTCATCGTGATTTTTTCCTGGTTGCATTCGTGTTTCTAATGGCAGAATATTTTTTCCATTGTGATTCCTGAGTATCAGGGTCTTCCGAATAGGACAATGTTTTGCTTTATCAGGGTGGCTGGATTTTTTACATGATGCAAAAAGGTTTTCAGAAACCAGTTCTTTGCCAGGAGGCATAGTTTTCTTCTGTGTTTGTGATCTGTCCACTTTAATAACATTTCTGTCATCTGAAGCCCTTTGTTGAAGTTTTGGGGTGTTTTCTCCAAATTTTGTAATTTTAGATTTGGCATTAGTGAATCTTGTTAAGCCTTCTCCTCTTCTCAGGAAGGGTCGTTTGACCACTGGTTTTTGAATGACTGATCCATTTGTCTCCTGAAAAAAGGGTAAGGAAAAGTAAAACGCAGAATATTAAAAAGCCCTTTACACAGTTTGAAGATTTCTTCAAATAAACTCCATATATGAGGAGGAATTTACACAACACATTTCTACTGGATTTCTAAAGACATCTCAAAAAGTAAAATATTTAGAGTTTTATTTTTATTTTATTATTTACTTTATTATTTTTATTATATTA